AGGCCTGCACTGTTCAACATTTTTATCAGCCATCTGGATGTGGGTGTGGAAAGAATGCTGTCCAAATTTGTTGATGACGCAAAAACGTGAGGAGAAGTGGGCATGGTGGAGGGGAGGGACAGAATCCAGCTAGATCTAGCCAGGTTACAGAGGTGGGCGGATGAGAGTAGAATGGAATTCAACACCAGAGAAGTACAAGGTGCTGCATCTAGGGAGAAGGAACCTGCAATATACCTATAGGCTGGGGAACACCCTTTTCAACAACACACTGGCTGAAAGGGATCTTGGAGTCATTATTGACTCCAGGATGAACACGAGCTGCCAATGCAAGAAAGCAGTCAGTAAGGCTAGCCGCACCTTGTTGTGCATCTACAGATGCATCACAGGCAGGTCCAGGGAAGATGATCCTTCCCCTCTGTGGCACTGGTCAGGCTGCAGTTGGAGTACTGTGTCCAGTTCTGGGTGCTGCACTTCAAGAGAGATGTGGCTAGCATTGAGAGGGTCCAGAAAAGGGCCACTGGCATGGTCAGGGGGCAGCAGACCAGGCCCTACGAAGATAGACTAAAGGGCCTGAATCTATTCAGCCTCCACAAGAGAAGACTGAGAGGGGATCTGGTGGCCGTCTATAAACTCACCAGGGGGGACCAGCGGAAAATAGGTGAGGCTTGGTTCCCCCAGGGACCACATGGGATAACAAGGAATAACGGCCACAAATTGATTGAGAGCAGGTTTAGGCTTGATATCAGGAGGTATTACTTTACTGTTAGGGCTGCCAGGCTCTGGATTGGGCTCCCAAGGGAGATGGTGCTCTCCCCTTCCTTAAGGGTCTTGAAGAGGAGGTTGGATAGATGTCTGGCTGGGGTATTAGGATCCCAGCACTCGTTCCAGCCCAGGGCAGGGGGTCAGACTTGATGATCTGTTCAGGTCCCTTTCAATCCTAGAATCTATGAAACTATTAAGCAGAGCATTATAACACTGAATAGTCGTACCTAGAAACTGTAATGTACCAGTTATAAAAGGGAGGAAAAGTGTGGGCTTTCTCCCTTACGAAACTGTTTAGGGATGTGTTAATGTCTATAAGATGGTGATGTAATAGTTAATAGTTAAACCCAACCAATAAATCTACTAGGGCAGATGGCCTCTTACATGTGTGATGAAATTGGAAAAGACCCTGAGTAAAGCATTAATGGAATTAATATTGTAAGGAGTCTTACAAGGTAAATCTCTCTAACCCTGGTGATAAAATGTGTTTTATGTTAAAGCCTCAGATAACTGGTCATATGAAACGGTACATATATCTGGTCAGCCATAAACAAAAGTGATCCAGTTACTTTGGAAACAGAGGACACCAAACTTTCACAATCCTTTTCTATTAGTTTTACATGTGAAATATGAATTGGACTTGGTATGTTCATTGTTTCACAGATTGAGAAATCATTGGTTTCACACTCTCAGGTGAGTGTGTTTCGATTTTAATGTCTTTAGGACAAGGACTGTTTATGCCCGTGTCGACACTTCAGGCTGCAGTCGAGTATAGAGACAGACCAGCCAGTTCAGATACTAGAAGCAGTCTAGCTTCTGATTTAAAACTAATTTGCATATTTGCACATCGACTGTAGTATGCAGTGTAAAACATATGCCATTCTGTGTTTGTATAGTGCCTTACTGAATGTTTCCCCATCTTGGGTGGCCCTTCAGTGCAGGAGTGATAAGCAGGGATCCTGGTTTTCTCTGATTTTAAAAAAATCCTCAATTTTGGTTAAAAAAAACATAACTCAAAATCCACATTTTTATGCAATTTAAATAAAATGCAACGGATATAGATAGATCTATCCACACAGATTTATAAATCTAGATAGATAGATCTATCCATATAGAGATGGAGAGAGAGACAGCTCTATTTATCTGTAGATATATAGTGGCGTTTCATTTTAATCATGGAAAAATGTGGATTTGGGGTGCCTTTTTTAAAACTGAAAATTGGGGATTTTTTTTAAATCGGAGAAAACCAGGATCCCTGGTGATAAGCCTGATTATTGCTAATTGTCACTACCAGAATGAGGGATGACCTAGCTAAAGCATATAAAGCCCATCAAATCTAATCATCCCAGCCTAAGGAGGCAGCCATTTGAAGGAGTCCTAGCAGTGGAATGAATGCACATATGACTCACTAAGCCTGTTTGTGACAAAAAACTTTAAATGCCTTCCTTGTAATGACATCAGTAATCTTGTGGCAGATGCATGGTCTGTAACTTCTGCTACTGCCACTTTGTAAACCTGGTATGTTTTTCCTACAGTTAATTCTTACTCCCTACTAAAAAAGGTCAACACTCTCTTTGATTTTTCCATGCAGCTGGCAGTTCCAAGCAGTTCAGCTGCTCTGAACAAGGTGGCATTTAAGTAGGTCCGCCGAATGTTTTTTTGGTTAGCCTCACTTGTGGACCCTCTTCCGTTTTCTGCCTAAAACAGCTGGTCAAGCATGGCCTCACAGTTTGAAAGACCTATGCCTTCATCATCAATATTTTAGTGCTTGTTGCAGCATGTCAGTGTTTGAAACTCAGTCAAGCCTTTTGACAAGCAGGAGGAAGCACAAAATGACTGTGGCCTTTTTCCAGCTGCTAGAAATCATGCCTGTACAATGTCCAGGTTTCACACCCAAAGCAAAACAGTAAGATCTACAGCTTTATAAATTCTTACCTTAGTAAAGACCTTGATTTTTTTTTTTTTTTTCCCCCCCCCCCAGTCCTAAGGGCTGCATCTACTTGCAAGATGCAGGAATACCCTCCCTCAGCACACTCCCCAGGTAACAAAACCAATGAGTAGCATCTACTATTTGATTTTTTTCATTAATGACCTCTAGTATCTAGAATCAACTCCTAAAAAAAAAAAAAAAAAAAAAAAAA